AAATTTCCTTAAATCACCAAGGGAAATTCGCTTATGTTAAAGGGAAATCCGCAAATGTTATCAAATTCACTTCCGAGTGGAAACTAGAACAGGCCTGTATAATTTCAGTCAGAAGTTTGATCAAATCGCAAACTTTCTTGTTTTTAAAATACAAAGGTCAAAAAGGGAGACATGGAGGAGGCTTGTCACCCTGTGGTTATATGTCGCATATAGTGGGCCTCTAGCCCACTGCACTATGGGGTTTTTGAGCACTTTTTGTGGCATTTAATCATTTTTTAAAAGTGCTTTAATTTAAAAAAAAATAGTGGTATTGTATTAACAAAACATCGAACTGTTATGCCTCATACTCAAAATGTTAATACTTAACAGCATATGTTAGCAACAGAGCTGTAAAGTCAGCTGTTGCATCCGAAAGCACGTCTGCTAAGTTTGCCATTTTTAGGAAGTGATCTTTGAAATTAAACTATTCGTGAAAGAAATAATTTGCAAAGGAAAAAACTAATGGACACTGATTTCACAGGTTTTAACTACATGTTATATGTATTAATTATTTAAATTGTGCGTGTTTATACTGACATTTTGTCATTTTATAAATGCAATTTAAGCTAAATTTTGCGAAACAAATTTCAAATTTGGGAAGAGTTTTGAAATAGGAGTTCGCATTAGTTTTCAATGCGTCCAATTGTATGTTGGTGCGTTGTCAATTCTAAGCCAAAATCAGTTAGTCTTATTGTGCACTTTTCCGCACTATTGGTGCAATTTGAATTTTTCTTATGTAACCTCACTGTTTTCAACGCCAATACTTATTATGTTTACAGTTTGACAGTTACAGTCTTACATTCCTAGCTTTACATTTTCTCTACATTTACCGATCGCTTCGATGGCAGCTATATGATATAGTTGTCCGATTTTCATTAAATTTATATAAAAATTCTGAAATAATTAAATAGGCTTATCTCATAGTAGATGAAAATACGTTAAAAAACAACGAAGTAATAGTTTTTTTCTATTAAATTCCCGATCGTTCCTATGGCAGCTATAAGATATAGTCGTCCGATTTTCATAAAATTAAAACCGAAATAATATAAAATGGCCATATCTCTAAAATGATGCAAAAATTATTTCGGGTGTTCAAAGTGGGAAACAAATAGAAAAAGCATCCGGGTCCGGAAAAATGGGTTCCCATTACAACAGTCTCAAGTTGTAGCAAAATTAAAGGCTGAAATTGTGGGTCGCACAGTGATTGAGCAAAACTGTTAAAAAATACGAAAAAAGAAATGGAAGTGACAAATGTACTACAAAAAACTCTTCCTAAAATCTTTGATGCCCAGAGAGAGAGAATCAAACTTTGGCTGCCCGCGCTTAATATAAATTTGTTTTCCGCAAGCAGTTCCAAGGTTTGCGTAATGGAGGATGAGACATATGTAAATATTTCAGAATGGAGGATCATGAATGGACTCCAAAATATCACTTTAAGCTCCCCAATACTCAACCACCGGAATTGGCCACTCAAAATATAAAAACAAAATTTCCTAAACCCTCCAAATGTTCCTCAGTTAAAATCAATTAAAGTTTTGGGCAAATTTAAAAATATTACAAATCAAAGAAAGCTTGTTAAAATTAATACAAAAGAATTTTAGGAAGCAAGGCAAAACTCCTCGCAATAGTATTAATTTTTTTATGAAATGGCTTAATGTCTAATAAAAAACATATATAAAAAACAAATAAACATATATAAAATAAATTTACCACCTTACTTTATGGAGCATGTATGCCTGTACACAAAACTCTTATTATTATATATTTGTGCACTTATGGTAGTACAAAGAAAATGTTAAAAAAAATTTGTATTACAGTTCACCAAATACTTATTTCTGCAGTCAAATAAATAAAGCAAAACCATAATTAAGGAATTCCCGAAAGAGATCTGAATATTCGTGAAAACATAAGTTTAGGGCCATTATACCAATAAGGGTTGATTTACTCGTATCAAAATGGCACTTCTATAGAATGAAAAAATGTTGAATAGACAACTGGGAATTAAACTGAGACACAATCTCGTTAATAAAAGCAACAGCTGTTGTGTTAGCCTTTGTGGTTCACTTAAAATGATGTACATTTTTGTTGATGGCGTTAAATTTTACCAAACAAAAGCATATCTTATCGAGGTGGGATAAAAGTGGCAATGGCAACTACAGCTCAAATAATTTCAGTTTTTAACTTCTGTGAATATTAAGAGTTACATAAACAAAAAATAAACTACAAATTATTTTCCTAGTTTCTAGTTTGCCACGGTGGTGGAAGTTATTAGTCACAAGGCTTGATATTTTGCTGGTTTGCAACGAAAACTTGTGCTGTTTAGAAGTTATGGGCGCGGGAAATCCAGCTGTCCAAACTGGGTCCAGGCATAAAAAAGCATCCTTTTTAATATACAGTTGGAAAAGACCGACCAAGTCTTGATAATTGATTGCGATATTAAAAAGGACATAAGACCAGGCACCGTAATCATTATAAGTTATATTATAAAAATTAAATGGTAATAATTATGTTTAAAATTTTTATTTTATTTTTAAAGATAATCATTAGATTTGAGTAAAAAAATAAAATTGTTTCAATAAAAATTTTGTTTGATCAAAGAAATAAATTTCAAAAATAATGATTATTGATGAAAGACACTTTTCGAGATCTAAAACACAACCTCGCTAGAACTTGAGATTTGTATGCACCGAAAACAGCCGGAAATTAATATAACTTGTGGTTTGTTATTTTTGTATAGGATTCTCCTCCAGTGACTTTATCTCTTCCATTGACCAGAGCAAATAAATAAAGGCTATGAAAAAAATCCAGGAAGCAGGTCTTGTGGTCGAATGCAAGTTTTTTTCAATTAGCGGGGATACTTGAGACTATTCCAACCGAAAGCCACAGCACACACAGAATCAGGTGGCATTCGCACTGGCGGTCAGTTTGGTATTGTGAGAACAATTGTAACAGAAGGAATAACAGAAAGAAATCAGGTGTCATGTAACGAACGTGGGAGATATGTATTTGTTACCAATATATCTTTACTACTCGGTCACACGGTACTCGTTACAATAAAACCAGAAAAAGTATATTTATTAACATATATATTTATACCCTTGCGGGGTATTATAATTTCATTCATTTGTTTGCCATAACAGAAGGAGACGGTTCCGACTCTATAAACTATATATATTATATATAGTATATATGTATATATATATATTGATCAGCATCAACAGCCGAGTCAATCTAGCCATGTCCGTCTGTCCTTTTGAACGTATGTCCATCTGTCTATCTGCCCGGCTCTACTCAAACAAGTCCCTCAGTTTTAAAGCTATCTGAATGAAATTTTGCAGATAGCAGGGAACTTAACAATTATAATTATTCAACTTTGATAAAAAGTTTAAGAATCATTTTTTTTTTTAATTTTATTATAAAAGTTGAATTATAACTGTTTTTATTAAATTAATAATTAAAATAATAATATATTGTGCTTATTGCATATGCATAAACAAATTTGTATACCCTATAAAGTATATATATTCTTGATCAGCATCAACAGCCGAGTCTATCTAGCTATGTCCGACTGTTTGTCTGTCCATCTGTCCGTTTCTACGCAAGCTAGTCCCTCAGTTTTAAAGCTATATGAATGAAACTTTGCATAAAGTCTTCAGAATACTCTTACTGCTGACGGACGACTAAATAATATAGCTGATATACAAATGATTGACAAATTAAAAAAAAAAAGTTGTCTTGGCTGTTTTTCAAGATATTTTTATCATTGTTGAGATATGGCGGGTTTTTATTACTCTAAAAATTTGTGTTTTCATTTTATGAAAATCTGACGACTATATTAAATAGCTACCATAGAAACGAACAGTGGATATACAGAAAAAACCTTGTTTTGTGTGTATTTTTCTAGCATTAATATTTATAAGGTTAATTATATTAGATATTTAAATCTAAAATATAGATTTTTTATACGATTAAATTTATTATATGCTTTTATATATTTCATTTTATTTTGTTCTATTAATTTGACCTGAACCCGGATAGCTATGAACCATATAGGCCTATGTGTGGCCCCTCGAGGGCCGTCCGGACTAACCTAACCTAATTTGACCAGAATGGATCGATTCCTTATGATCCAATGGCAAACTGCAAGGGTATACAAACTTCGGCGTGCCACAATTAACTTCCTTTCTTGTTTACGTTCCACATTAAGGGTCCATTCTGGTTAGTTGAAAAAAATATCTAATTTTTTTTTTGCCTTTTTTGATAGCTAGAATAGAATATCATACTAAAAGATCAAATATAAATAAATACGTAATAGTTTAAAAGTTATTAGCCTCCGAACCGGCCGACTCAAAGCAGCTACAGAGCAAACATAAAACTTTAAACGCATTTTCTGGAAAACTACATTTTTCGGGCTGGCGACCATAATATCTTAGTCAATTTTTAACGAATCTTAATGATTTTTTTTTAAATACGCGTAATGAACGTGTCCATGGAATAGGCTACAATTATATTGATAGCTTAAACATTGGATTTTTTATCAACAAAAAAGTGAAGAAAATTTTCACAAAAACGAAAAAAAAAATTTTAACTGCCGCCATTTTGTTATTTTTTATTGAACTTTGATAAAAGTAGCCTATTCCATAACCACATTCATACTAAATAACGTTTTTGAATTTTTTGTTTCTGTCGATTTTTACGTCCTGCAGGACGGTCGCCAGAGGGGTTACTTTTTTGGGCATGGGCTTACGTCGCCCTGTGTCCTGCTTTCACTGCGTGTTACAGTATGAATATATTCGGGGTTTTTGTTTAGTCCGTGGCAATTTTGTGAACAACCTAACAATCATTTTTCATAAATATTAATATTTCTGTAGTATGTGGAGTATCATATACATATAGTAAATAAAATTTGTGGTTATATTCGATGCAAACATTTAAGGGTACTAATATTTATTGAAACTTACCATCTCCCGAAATGCTGCCTTGCGAACTATGGGAATCTTCTAAAATAATAAATTGAGAAACATTATTAGGGACATAAAAGTAACATATTATTTATTAATATTTGTACTTTATATTTGTTTAAACGTGTAAATACCTGCCCCATTTTGTACATCATTCATTGCTGCTATCCATCCATCAACTCCCTGAGTATTTGTCATGAAATTGTTGTTTGCAATTGGCGGCGTTGTACTCAAAATCCGGTTTGAATATTCATCAAACTTGTTGGTCACTGTTGAGTCAAAGGAGTAGAAAAATTAAAATTAAAAGATTTGCAAATATACTTACATACAGATATACGTATGAATTGAAAAAATAAAAGTCGTGGACATGTGACACACACACACCAATTCCGTGACTTGAAAGGCTCTTCTATTTGTTCTTTTTTATTTCGATTTAAAGAAAATTGAACATGAATCGAAAAGAATCGCGAAGAAGAATCATTTTTTTCTTTGGGAGGGGAAGAAAATGTATATTGCTTATGTTAGCCTCATAGCCCCAACTCTTCTGTAAGGATAGCTATTGTTCTTGGATTTTAGCATTCTCTCTTTTAATCTAAAAACTAAAAATAATGTTAATCAAATGAAAATGTAATCCTTTTGTTCAACTGAAAGGCCTTTGTGGTCGGCCCGTTTTGACTAATACATACATATGTATACTACCTGCAATAGAATAAAGACTATTGAGACAGATCGTCCACAATCCAGATAGCGTTAAAACTGATAGACTAAACAGTATAAAAAATGTAAAAAAAAAATTTCTTTTTTATCAAAGGAAAAGTCAAACAGAAATTACTCCATATGCTATTACAGAAGATATATGAGGGAAATGCATCTATCTGCAAAGTTATGATGTTATTTATAAATAAATATTCCAATCCAATATCAAACTTTAAGGGTATACAAACTTCGGCATGCCGGAGTTTACTTCCTTGCGTTGCACGTGCACACTATTTAAAGTTTAAAGCTGTACTTACTCTTTCCCTTTTCATCTATTTGCGGTGAGTCATAGACGTTACTTCCGATATGCTGTTGGAGATCATGAGCAAGGCTCACACTATCATTGGGAATGCTCTGCAAAGTGTGTAAGGTAGGCGTATCGACCTGAGACTGGTGCTGTGACAACTGATGTTGTTGATGCTGCTGCAAATGCTGATTATGATTGTGCTCAGAATTTAGTGTCTGTTCTTGTGCACTGTGTATACTCGAAGGCTGATGTTGTATTATACGGTGTTGAATCTGATGCGAGAGTACCGACCCGGAAAGCCCATGGCCATGATGGCGGGGTGATGACGTTTGCATATCCATTATAAACATCAGAAACTGAAAAAGCAACAAAAAACCAAAGCAAAAATATTTATTTAAAAGGATAACCAATCGTTTTGAAAAAAAAAAAAATTGTGTGAGTACCTCCAAATAAAGTTAGCTTCAAAAAAACAAAACCTTAGCATATATATGTAGGTAAATTATTTGAGATTCTTTAATAATTACAATATTTACAAAATAAATGAAAAACAAATATATATATTTGAATCCTTTCATACCCTTTAACGCGCTGCAACCGTATCATTGCATTTCCCGCTCATTTGTCGGAAAAATACATCTGTATGTACAATATGTGCATTCGTTTAGGTCACGGCACCAGCTCTTCTCAGTTCCTTAGCAAGGTGCGCTCCTCCATGAATCCCGCGCAAACTCATTCACCTGTTCTTAATTGACCTTTTTGGGGTATCACACGCTTCACCACTAAGGGTCATCCCTTACCATAGAAAGGATCAAAGGAGCAAATAAGAAAATAAGGTACAATGTCTAGGAGCCATCTGTTTTCTTTTTAATGAAATGTATTTTTCCCCAATAAATAGATAGACATTGGTAAGACACATTTTAAAACTACATGTTTATTAAAATAAATAATATGTTAACAAAGTTTTTAATGTTACTAATTAGACGTTTACACTTAACTCGTTTGGGGTTTAGCATTATTCAACGATTTAAAATAAACTTATTCTAAAAATTTGACCTTACTTTTTTAAATAAATTCTACATCTCGGTAATATTGTCCCAACATTTTTATCTGAGAAAGACTTTTTGAGCTACAGTTTAATAAAGTTGCACAGTATCAAGGGCGAATAGAGACTTCTTATTAGGGGGGAGGGGCGGTCAGAGACAATCTTAAGATGTATATCATTGGGGAGGCGGACGATCGGATTAAAGTTCTTAATCAATGATCGCTTACCCTGCATACGCCACTGTCGGTTATCAAGATACAAAATACTCTACCGATCTTTATACAATTTTAGACACCCCTGTCGTGATACAACGATCCACACTTAATCATTTGTATATATTATATACATATATATACAGTATAAGATCGGTGGTGTAGTTTGTATCTTGATAACCGACAGTGGCGTATACATGATCATTGATTATTGATTGATTAAATCGCTAAGTAAGTTAGTATGGTGTCAAGGAGTTGTGTACTACATTGTTAAGGGTTCAAGGCATATCACAACACAAAAGTTCACGGTCGTTCAGACTTAAAGTAAGGTTAGGTAGATGTATATCTTAAATACTATTACGCATACTATTACTAACGCCACATTCAATTCGGGAAAAATAAAAGTGGGAAAAAGAATCGCATTTTCACACACTTCCCACCAAATAATAATGGCGTCAGACCAGACAACAGTCTACAAAAAAAAGTTGGAAAATAAGAAACTCAAGGTCAGGAGCGTGGGTACGAAAGATATTTATTCGAGTCAAGTAATGCGCCCCATCACATTCCTCTTTTTTAAGCTCATACAAAAAGGTTTAGCTTAAAAGTACGAAAAAAAAAATTTACCAAAAATGTAAGTAATCATAATGTGAAGAATATATTTCGCCTAAAACAAAAACATATATATGGAATAAAAAAAAATAATTTACAAATCAACAGGTAATTTTAATTAAAAGTCTTAAAAATTACTTACCCGTTATTTTATCTAGATTTCATATTCTACATGTTTTTAAGTCAATAATTCATTTTAGTGGAATATTTTAAGTACTGAAAACTGTTGTAATGAATAGTTGTGTGTTTAAATAATTCTATTATGTTTTTTTTTTTTTTTTATAAATAATAATAATATTTTTTTATTTATGCATATATGTGTTTGTATAAGTTATGTTTTTTTATTGCACAAGTCACTTGAAATGCGAATTTTTCAGTTGTCCAATAAAGGTCAATACTTTGGCAGGCTTAAAAAGAACGGCGCAGCGCGTTCCACCTGTTGCAGTTCAACGCGGGTTTTTACACAGGTGGGCCGAGGATCGTTTGAACTGTACGCCAAGAGATCTCGAGCGAAACTAAATTGTTGAATGGTTAATGTGGACGGCGGAAGCCGTATGTATATGTGTGTTTTTGTCTTTGAGTCCCGCTCAAAACTTGGCCAAGACACGGCTCTTTACGGTTGGTCGGTTTTTGGTTCGCACTCAAAACTGACTGCCCACAGATCGGTGTACATATGTATATACATATGTATGTCTCTTCGTTGGTTTAAAGAGTCAAAGCTAGGCTTGCTAGTGATGCCCGTTTCTTCGGACAAAAAAAATTGTCTTTTACCCAATTTTTTTGAGAATAAAAACGTTCTACATTTTAATAAATACCCTAAATATTAAGACACAGTCATAATTTTTTCGACTTCAAGACTGCACCTTCTCGAAAAGTTCGTACGATAAAGCGCGATAAATCTATTTTCTTTTTAAAATGTATGTATACTGTGCCAAAGAACTTTCTAAGCTTAGTTTAAGCTATCATTGTAGGAAAAATTAATTACCTTAAAATGTACTATTGAAGATATGATGAATATCAATTTAATAAATTTTTTCGATATTTTTCGATATCGAAAATATCGATATTATTATGTTTAAAAATAATTTTTCAATTTGAAGCGCTAATTTCTCTTATTATATCATATTGAAAATCTCTCTTATTTCAATATATATTCATATGTATATACATATCAGTATATGTACATATATAAAACAATATAAATGGGGAAAAACATATACATACATATCTAAAAAACGTCCAAATTGGCAGCACCGTTTGGCCGCACGTACGATCACCGTATTAAAATATTGAGCGAGTGAGAGATGCAAAAAGGGAAGGAGAGTAAGGGAGAGGACGAATGGAAGATAGAGCAGAGGGAGAAATAAGAGAAATTACATACATACATACATATTCCCGTTTTTACTATGTATGTATGTACGTGTGATTCATGTAGTTGTTGTTTAGTAATTTACGCTTTAGCCATAAAAAATGCATATGTTGACTCTTATGTACATATATGTATGAGCATACATATGTATGTACATACGTCTATAATTTGAATACTTGAGTCGAAAATTATATATATATATATATATATTTTTTTAAGTAAGCTCATATACATACATACATACATATGTACATATGTATATGTATATACAATAAAGGCAGCTGAATAACCTTTCTTTAAACATACAGACACATTTTCAAGCTTTGGTGTATAAAAAATATTTTGCAGCTTAGGTGTATGCTTTAGATTTGGAAATAAATCGGATTTCAGTGAATCTATTAAAAAAAAAAAAAAGAATTAACAAGTCAATCGATAGTACTATTATGATACTGGCGCATTACTTATTGCCGTATAACACTGGCGCATTAATTAAAAACTTCATTAATGATTTGACAGCGCTATAGCGTTTTACACAAGTGCGAACAAGACGACTATATGGCGCTATAATGCATTAGAATAATGCATTAGCTACTTCATTGGCGCGAAAATCGATAGATCTACATAAAATATACTAAATACTAGATTTGGACCAATAACAAAATACAGTTTTTTATGAAGAAAATTATAATTTAAAAGTATATTAGCCAGTTCAATAGAGGTCGAAACTGAAAGTGGTCTTGACATGAGAATTTTATTTTTATTTCATTTTGCTGGTTTCTTCTCTGGAAAAAATTATTAGAAAATAATATGTTAATAATAATATATACTTCGACGAAGAGTACCAGGGAATTGTCTCTTTCCAGGTCCTAATGAAGTAGCTGATTATTGAAAACTGTATTAGAGTATCATAAGACCATAAGAACATTTTATTTATCGATACTTGTATTTAAATATAAGCTTTTTTTTTTTTTTTATTCCATTTATTAACAACATTAAATCTTAGTATATTACTTAGTATATTTACTGTATATTACAAATAAGAACAAAAAAGAACGAAGACTGCGAATTGTTGGTTTGAAGGCTGCTTTGTTTTACAGTGTAGAGGGCCTTGGTCGCGCGGTACCGCCGCTAGGCATTGCTTCGCGCGAGGTACGGGCCACCTACTCCGCACGCATCCTTCTCTCCGTCTCCAGGGTCCTCAGCGTTTTCATGACGCTTGCCACAAAAGTGGCAGTCGCGTCCCAGGCCTTCTGGCTGCCAAGCATAGTGGGGACCAGGTTGTCAGCTCCGATGGCAGCGCCCACGACTTCCTCCAGTGCTAGCCGCTCGTGGTGAAAGCGATGGCATTCGAAAAGAACGTGGTGCGCGTTCTCTTCGACTCCGGTCCCGCATTCCGGGCAGTGGTCCTCTGAGTCGTGGCCGAAACGTTTGAGGTAGCTCCGAAAACAACCGTGCCCACTGAGTGCCTGTGTCAGGTAGAAGTCTACCTCGCCGTGCTTTCGGTTGATCCAGCTTTGGATATCAGGAAGCAAGCGGTGAGTCCAACGGCCCTTTGTGGAACTGTCCCACCTGGACTGCCACCGGGCGATGCTCCTGCGTCTGGCGCTGCTCCTAACCTCGCGCCTCGCCGAAGAGTTTCCCGGCTCGCGTGAGAGGCGGGCTTCCTGAGCTTCTCGAACCAGCTCGCATATCGGCACCTGCCCCGCTATGACTAGGGCCGCGTTGTCGGAGACAGTCCTGAAGGCGCACGCTACTCTTAGAGCGCATAGGCGGTAGGTTCCTTCTACACCCCTCACATAGCTCCTGACTTTCACAGCCTCCGCCCATGCTGGGGCTGCATAGAGGAGTTGCGACGTGACGACGCTCATAAGCAGCTTCCTCTTGCACTGCTTGGGCCCCCTGGTGTTCAGCAGGATCCTGGAGAGGGACCTTGCGGTTTCGCTGGCCTTCTTGTGAACATACTCTAGGTGTTCTCTGTAGCAGAGGCGTGTGTCCGGATGTCTAGAGTAACTACCAGACAGTATTCCTTGGCGCCTTTTTTCCATCTTGCGCCAGCTTTTTGTGTGTGTGTGTGTTTTTTTTTTTGTAAAAAATAATGAAGTTTTTATTAGACTAGTACACCGTTACCTAAATATTTGACAACTTCTAACTTACTAATTCGAAGTAAATTCTATGTTTATAATGCTGAGTTATGGAGAAGTATAAAGTATAGTTATTTTAATATAATATGAAATGTTTTTCATGTTTTGTCTGATATGTTATGGCAAGACCCGGTCAGGGAGGTCTTGAGAGTGGTGACGTTTGCGTCTTCTTCTAACTCGTGTTCTATGTTCAGAGGTGGCTAAGCTTCTTGCCAGACTATTAGGGTGATTGTTTAGTCACTAGGCCGCATGTACCAAGGAGCCCCAGATATCCTTCTTAACGTTTTTGCTTAAGGGGGGACATCTGAGTAAGTGGCAAAAAAAAGCCAATTTTCTAGAATTTTTTTTGGCCAAATGAAAAAGCCAATCGAAAAATTTTAAAATAGGTTTGATAATGTTAGATGTGAATAAATTTTTTTTTTTAATAAATCGAAAACAAAATGGCGGCTGTGCAGCATGTCTTTGTAGGCCCCATTTTTTTGAAAGGGGTCCATGGCCGAAAACCTAACGTCCTTAATTTTTGATCTAAAACAAAAAATCAAATTTTGTTAGTTTCTGTATCTTAACCGCTATCGACACACATAGGATTTTTTCGATATTTTGATTTTTAGCAAAATGGTGAGTGATTAAATAAAATGTTCAATTTTCATTAAAATAAAACGTCACAAAATTGTTGATAAAAAAAAGTAAGCAAAAAAAAAAAAAAAAATCCTACGTGTGTCGATAGCCATTGGTATTTTGGATATACTGTCAAAATTTCAGATCGATTGGTTAAGATTTGTTCGAGTTATGTTTTCGGCCAACTCAAAAAATGTGGTTTTGAGAAAAACGCGTTTAAAGTTTTAAAATCGTATATGATTACATGTGAGGCATCGCCGCAGAATGGAAAATTTTGACACTTAGAAACTTTTGCCGGACTCTATCTTTTGATATGTTATTTTTACGACCCTAAAGTATTTTTTAAGCAAAAAAAAAATGTTCGATTTTTAAAAAAAGTTACTCAGATGCCCCCCCTTAAAGAATCCGAATCTTGTTCAAATGACAATCTTGCAGCAATTCCATAAACTTGAAGGCCATAAAACAGGGAGGGGGCACGAATTGACTTGTATATCATGACCTTGGAGAAAGCTTTTTGTGTTATAATCTTTAATATGACATCAGAAACATGACATTTTTAAAATTAAGTAATGAAAAATAAAATGGCTTTCAGATCTGAACGCATTATTAAGGGAAAATAATTATTTACTCAGTGGTCTATTGATCGTTATTTCACACCACCAAAGGATCATTATGGCCCGTAGCTATTTTAAATAAAATTTATTTTTGACACCTCCTCAGATTTGGGAAAAAAAATTCTGCCGACTTCAACAAGAAAGTTATTGCCATATTGTTGATGGTTATTTCACACCACCAAAGGATCATTATGGCCCGTAGCTATTTTAAACAAAATTTATTTTTGACACCTCCTTAGATTTGGAAAAAAAAAATCTGCCGACTTCAACAAGAAAGTTATTGCCATATTGTTTGTGAAACGGTTGACCTAAATGGTCAAAATTTACCCAAAAAAAGTAATTGAGAGCACCGGAAATAAAACTGTGAAAAATCGAACAGCATGTTAGATGCCTAGATTTTCTTAACTCCAGCCAATTCTACCTCCTCCTGGCTTCGACACAAGCAATTGAAAATATAAAAGGCAGAAAGCCCAAATCAAAAACGAAAAAAAAACAAGAAAGGAAGCTGCTTTCGGCACGCCGAAGTTTGTATACCCTTGCAGTTTGCAATTGGATCAACTAACCAGAATGGACCCTTAAAGAATCCAGCCATTCTAGTTATATAAATAGACAAAAAAATAAAATGAAATATATAAAAGTTATAAATATACGACTATATATTATTAATATATAATCAGGCCTGCTCCGGTAATCGTAAAATTTTTTCGATTTCGTTTTGGGCTAAAACGAACCGTTTTCGTTTTAGCTGCTCCGGTT